AATCCAGCTGCCATTTCTAATCACCCTAATGCTTTTGTTTCCTCCCCTTTTGCAATTATTTGCCTCTGTCTGCTGAAGGTTCACGCAAAGAAGCTGTGAGCAAAACCGGCACGGTGGAACAGCATTTCCCATTTGCCATAAAAGTGTCCCAACGTCCATGTCATTTATGTAAATAGCCCCTGTTCCTTGGAAACAGCCACAGCCCTTCTGGTTCAGTCTAAAGGAAAAGTTAAATTATTGCTTTGATATCCATTAAAAAGGCTCGAGAAGGCTTCGTAGGTTCTGACGGCATGTTATGGGTGGAGGGTCCTGTCTTTGGTGCATTGCATCGGGGGGGGGGTTGTAGTTACAAGTCATGTAGATGTTTCTATTAATATGTATTTGTTCAGAAAGGCATTTCCAGTGTCATCACATCATCGGCGCTTTTTCAAGGGCAAAATTCTAGGGAGATAATCAAAGAGCTGAAAAGATGCTTCGGAGCTCTTCCCAGCTGCAGTGAGGTGAAGAAATTGTGCCTTTACCTCCCTGTCCCTGTAGATTTAGCAGGAGAGGGGTCTGCACCCACCCACGGGTGGGGGTCTTGCCCCTTCCCATGCCTGGAAGTGCCGCGGGGGCCAAGGGGAGCTCAGGGGAAGGTGCACCCCCTGGCTGGCTCCCACCTGGGTCCCTGGCACAGCCCGGTCTTGAAAATTGTGTTGTCGTTCGTCTGCCTTTGCAAGTGCTTAAATTCGTTAAAACCTGGCTTCTCCTTGCCCAGATAATTACAACTGGTGAAGCAGGGAGAAATACCTCCCTCGCACAAAAAAACCGCCTTGCTCGCTCCTCTCCGGTATTTCAATCCCTTTTCTGTTTTCCTCTTGCAGAACTATATGAACCCCCTGAGGCTGGTACTGACTCCCCAGGACATGGAAGCTATTTTTATCAATTTGGAGGTAACGGCGTAGACATTGTGGCTTAAATCTTTGTTCTGTTCACGGCAGCTCAGCCACCTTCCCGCTTAAGAGAAGACTCGGATTTCACATTAGATTTGTGCATTCACCTGTAGAGGTTCCGTCCTTCGTGTGCTGCGGAGCTTGAGCGGGTTTAGGAAATATTCTTTAACACTCAATTTTAGAGTTGGGGATTGTATGAACTCTAGGTAAGAGAAGCATTTTATACGGAGGATGCTCCAGGCGTGGGGCTGTGTATTTTAGCTGTACTTGGAGATGGTTTGGGCACACTGCGATGAAGGGATTTATTTCTATGCTGACTTGCATGGGATCTGGGTCGGAGCCTGCCCATCTCCTCCTCTCCCTCCAGACCTGCAAGAGGAACTTTAATACACATGGGAATCCTGGGGCATTTATCACTGTACAACCTCCCGGTGGAATTACCCCCTTGCGCTCCTGGCCATTTGGGGCTGCATCTCACTGGAATGACTTATTTTAAAAACAACTAAAAAAAGAAAAAAAAAAAAAAAAAAGAGGAGGAAATGACTGCCTGATTAAGTAGTGAATGTGCATTTCTTCAGGCTTTGTTTGCCCACTTGCTTTGGATGTGTTTAAAGTATTGATTGTTTCTTCGTTTTAGGACCTAATTAAAGTGCACTTCAGTTTCCTGAGAGCCATCGACGTCTCTATGATGTCTGGAGGAAGCAGCCTGGCAAAAGTGTTTCTGGAATTCAAAGAGAGGTAAAGGAAAGGCAGTCTTTAGGCAGCTCCAGTTTGAACAGCTACGGGTTAACATTTGCAGGGCCCATCTCAGGATTTGGAGCAGGAATCGGAACAGTTTGGAACGGGTTCGTATCCTCTGCAGGTAGGTGCTCTCAGGCAGCCGAAACATCACTTGTGCCGATGCTTAAGCAGCCAAATCCAAGCCACAGCCCTGCCAGGTTGCCCAGGGGCTCACGCTGGGACATCTCCCCTCTCTGACCCAGCTGGCTAAATCGGTTGTGGCTCCCATGGATGCTTGTTCTTGCAAGCCCCCGTCTGCATTGGAATTTTGCCGGGCTCCCAGCCTCCTGTGCAGGACCAACTGTTTAACATACGGCTCGTTGACAGGGATGTGGCAGAGGGGAGAAGTATGGGAACGCTACGGTTATGGTGAGCCAGAATGGAGTAAAACCTCATTTGCCTTCAGTCTTCTCCTGCAAGCAGCAGCGGGGCTTTGAGGGCCCGGGATGGGGTAGGATGACTTCTTTGCAGGGGAGACTCCCCTCTGGGTAGATCAAAGCGATGGCTCACTCTAAAAAATCGCGTATTTGGCACCGCTGCTGTCCCGCACCCCTTGCATGATGAATAAATGTAAAAGTTGCTTTCGCAAACATAATAGATTCTGTGTTTTGGCAGCTGCAAGCAGGAGTACCCCAGAACACAAAGATAAGGTTAATAAAAGCCTTTAATATCCTTAATACTAATCAAAGGCCTGATTCATTGTGGAATCGTGCCAGGGTGTTATTTCACTGTGATTAAACCAGTGTCTAGACACAGAAATGCCATTCAGAAGTCAATAACTCCAGAAATACCATCTGCATTAATAATACACCGTAAGGTCAGATATTCCATCATTCACAGCGCCTCTTTTTAGAGAGGGAGTGTTTTCTGGATTAAATAATAATAATAAAAAAAAAGTTTCCAAAGAAGAATGCAAATAATTTAAAAATACTCATAAAACTCACTTGGGTGATTTTGATCTCTTAATTCCTGGCTCAGCTCCGTGCACGCCGGTGCCGTCCCCAGGCAGCGATGCCGAGCCGCTGCCGGCTGCGCTCGGGATGGAGCTGAGCACGCAGGGAGCAGGGAAGGGACATGGGAGGAGTGGTGGAGGTGGCATTGCTCCCCAGGGCGATCCGCGTGGCTGTGCAGGAGCACGAGGCTCGTTTTTGGGCGGACAGCCTTTAAATCAATGTTTGCTTCTGTTAATTTGCTGATAGGAGCTCAGCAGAGCGCTTGTGGCTGATGGGTTTCATGCAGGCGGGTGAATGAACCAGCCCGGTTCCTAAGGGAGTTTGCAAGCAGCTTTTTAAAGGATGTTAAAAGCTTTCCTGAGAGGCAGCTGGAGGAGCCAGACCGATGGCTGCAAGGTCACGACAGCAGATCTGAGGCCGTGTTCAGCCCGTGGAGGTCTCGGGAACCTCAGCGTTGTGGGGAACTGCTGCTCGTGGAGAGTTTTGGCTTGGAGAAGACCCCAAAACCAGGCTGTTGGGGATGAAGAGTTTGGAGTAACCTGATCTAAATTGGCAGGGACCTTTTTCACAGCTGGAAAGACGATGATACCACGTTTTACAGCAAGGAAATGGGGGTGCAGGAGGAGAAAGTGAGCTCACCTGGGGAGATGGTGTCACCCCACCAAGAAGGGATCATGAACCTCTAGAGTCCCTGCTTGGTCCCTGCGTATAAGACCTTCCTCCACAAAATCTGTCCATGACAAATAGCTCTCGCTTCCCTACGCATCCTCAGAGACATCCCAGCAAAATGATGTATTGCTCCTCTGCTTTGCAGGTTTGGGGTTTTTGGGGTTTTTTTGGAAGGAAATAGTTTGTAAATCTCTTTCTCTGAAAGCCAGAGGTTTGAATTTATGCTCCTGAAGCCTCTTTGAAACTCTCCAAGTGCTGGCAAGGTAGATATTATTGTGCATGTTGAGAAGTTGTCAAGGGGATAAGGCAGAAGAATAATCTGGTTTGGCTGCTGCTTCGCCGGGGATTGTGGCTCCCATAAATCTCTCCATTCAATTCCCCGCCGGGGTCTGCGAGTCCCACATTTACGGAGCGACACCAGGTCAGGTGCTCCCAGATCGTCTCCATCAAGCGATGAGGCCCTGAAATAATGGATGAGCTGCAGCGCGTGATGGAATATGTGTCTTATCAGCAGCAACGCAGTTACCGGCAAGGAAGGGGGGGAAAACCGAAACCTGTCGTGCAGGATTAATGAGTGAAGTGGAGGAAAAAGGGGAAATCCACGGCAAAACTGCTCTGGTTGTGTCAGGTGTTTAAATTTATAGCCTATACAGAGCTTCATTATGTTTCCAAAGGCTGTGACAACCTTCTTTTCCCAAATTACCTAGGCTCTTGATCTCCAGGTCCCTGCGGTCCATCCTGCAAGGAGCAATGAGTTTTCTAAAATGTGTCCTTGGGTTTTAAGGGGATTTGAAGCCTCTCATCCTCTGATGAGGGGCAAATTATAATCACCCACATCCATTCTGGGCGTGTCTCATGAATCAAGAGTTTCTTGCCTTCTTCCTTCCTTGGTGAAATATCCAGAAACCCTCAGACTGAGGGGCACACATCAGCCATGGTGGTGGCAATCGGGTTTTGGGGCTGTGAGAAGATGTGACTCGGGAAATGAAGGCTTTGGGGGAGATGAATACATGGGCTTGTGCGAGCTGCGTTCTGAAATGCTCTCAGGAAATGGATTTTTGTTGTGGTTTGGTCTCGAAGCGCATCCCTGCTCTGCCTTCGCAAGCCCTGGTGCTAACGTGGCACAGCCGGAAAACCGGAGCGTGGCCATCGGGGCGGCACGGCGCCTGTCGAGGCACCAGGGGGATTGTGGCAATGGTGTATTCTCAAGAAAAAGCCAACTTGCAGCCGAGGAGCTGCGGGGTTGGATTGCAGGGGTTCAGTGCTTGCCCCCTCCTCATGTTTTAGTTTTCTCATAGCCTTGCTGGGGTCGGAGCCGATCCCTGGGAGAGGCGAGCACCGGCAGGGATGGGGTCCCAGCTCTTTGCTGTTTCTTTTCATATTTGGGCTGTCATACCTGCGATGCAGCCAGCCCTTGTATAGCCACCTTGTAGCCTGCTCCAGGAAAGGTCTTTCAGCGTGGACCTTCCCTTTATTATCGTGGTGCTCCAAAAGCCCAGCTCTTGGGGAGCAGTGGTTAAATATATCACGCTCAGGAGTGGAGGGATGAGCCATCGTACCCCCAAAACCAGGCTCCTCTGGCCACTCAGCCCCTTCTGCTCGTCCTGAGCCGAAGCACCCCTCCAGCTCTGGAAATGTCAAAAGATTTAAATGTTCAAAAGCGGTGCCGTAAAAAGAGTGTTAATACTTTTCTAAGCAGTTGTATGGGGGAGTAGCTGTTTGCCTTGTCCTTTCCCTGTATATAAGTGCATATATCTTTTATAACAGGTTATAACTGCCAGCAAGTGTTTCCGATTAAATCTGTGATTTCCCTCCACAGGCTGCTGATTTACGGCAAGTACTGCAGCCACATGGAGTACGCCCAAAACACACTCAACCACCTCCTCGCCAACAGGGAGGATGTCAGGCAGAAGGTGGAGGTGAGCGGGGGACACCGGGGCCGAGTGCTGCCCACCCGCCTTGTCCTGGGTTTTGGAAGGACTTGCTGGAGCTGGGGGCGTGTTGGGATCACTTGAGCAAGAGAGGGGAGGGGTGTGGGGGTGAGGCTGTGCTGCCTGGAGAAGGAGCAAAGCTGGGGGTTAGCGTGTCCTGACCCCCTCTTGCCCCTTCATCTCCCCGCCAGGCACACTCTCTGTCCTTCCTCCCCCAAGTTAAAACAAGCCGGGTGACTTGATTTGAGCGGGACTGGTTGTGGACAAATTCCTTTTTGAGTCGTGCAGGGAGACCCAAAGGCACGGAGCATCCTCGAGGCAGGAACCGTGGCCTTCCCAAGGTCACAGGCAGCATCGTAGAATCATTTGGCTGGAAAAGACCTTTAAGATCATCAGGTCCAGCCGTAATCAGGGACAGTCAGAGGTGAACCCAAGTCCCCAGGCGAATGCCCAGATTACTCCCCTGTCCTCCTTCCCCAGCGTAAAGGCTTAGTGTAAATAGGGGCTGATCCAGATATTAAGTAAATCAAGGAGCCCCAGAAGGGATGCATTGTCTGAGCTGCTGTTTTACCCAGCTTTAATTCCTGCTTTGGTCTTGATGCTAATCTGAATTTGCTGGGCTGTCTGTACACGTTACCTCATTTTTCGCAAACGCGCTTTGATTTTCCGTGCAAAAGTAGCAAGCCGATTCAGGGATAAAACTGCATTTAAGAATTTTTTAAAAACGTGTTCCCTGGATCTTGCATCAAGCCGGTTGCCATAACAGCCGGTTACACCGGGGGTCTCGGCCAGCGCAGCCGAGTCACGGATCTAAATGGGGCTGGGTGAACAGAACCATGGCAAAACTTCCTGCAATCCCATTAGCTCGTCTTAATGACTTAATGCTTATCAGCGAAGCCACAGCAACTGTCTGCGTGCCTGGTTCCAGCCCCTCGCAAATAAAATGCATTAGTTCAAACCATCGAGGAGGTGCGTTAAGCTAATGCGCTTCATTTGGCATTTCCCGAGGTCTGGGCCGCCTTCGTGTGCTCCCCTAATGAGCGCTCTCTCATTAAGCTGGAGCAGCTCAGTTGCATGAGAATGTCTGTGTTTTAGGGTCCAGCCCCCATGTTTTACCCCTCAGTAATCCCTGCCAGGGGGGCCCAGGTGCTGGCTGGGTGCTTGCAAGGACCGCGAGCTGTTTCTCATCTGAACTAAGTTTACAGAAGCAAAACATAACAGCCAGGGGACGTTGGAGACTTTTTTTTGGGGGGGAGAGGGGGGAAGCTGATGTTTTCCCCCAGCTGCTTCACCACCGATGTATTGATTTCTTTAATAGGAATGCACGCTGAAGGTTCAGGACGGGAAATTTAAATTGCAAGATCTGCTGGTGGTTCCAATGCAGAGAGTTTTGAAATACCATCTCCTGTTAAAAGTAAGTGTTTCAGCATTGGCACTTCTCTCCAGCTGCCATCCTCGCTGTTGCATCTTTCGGCTTTTACAGTGGAAAGTGAATCATTGCCAAATGCAGAGCGAGGATTTTTTTTTCCCCCCTTCAAATGAAATAATTACTAGAGCTACTTAACACGACATAATATTTGTGCCGTCTCTTAAAGTATGGTGACCTAGGGTAATTCTGCACTTGTTAGCCACAAGAGGCAGTTAATGAATATAAAATAAGCTTGCATATAATCTGATTATGTGTGAAATTCCTCCCGTCAACTCCATGTAACGGAGCGCTCCGGCATCAGCCGCTTGGCGTGTTCCCTGTCCCGCGGCTGCAGCCGCCTGCCCTGGCATCCCCGCAGGTCGCAGCCTGCCCGGCGCAGGCAGGGCATGGGCAGCTTTCCTTCCTAGCACACCCAAACTCTTCTTTTTTATTTTTTTTTTGTTTGTTTTAGGAGCTGCTCAGCCATTCGTCAGACCGACCGGAGAAGCAGCAGCTGAAGGAGGCTCTGGAGGCGATGCAGGTACGGGAGGGCGAGAGCAGCAGCGGGGCTGTGCTGGGCTCGGGGTGCAACGGAGCGCAGGACCCCTCTGCTTCTGTGAAGTAAAAACTGGGGTGGAAAAACACACAGAATCCCAGACTAGCAGGGGTTGGCAGGGACCTTGGGAGATCACCCAGTCCCACCCCCCTGCTCAAGCAGGCTCACCCAGAGCAGGGGGCACAGGACAGCGTCCAGGTGGGGGTTGAAGATCTCCAGAGAAGGAGACTCCACAGCCCGCCTGGGCCAGGGCTCTGTCACCCTCAAAGTCAAGAAGTTCTTCCTCATATTCAACTGAAACCTCTTATGTTTCAGTTTGTGCCCATTGCCCCTTGTCCTGGCGCTGGGCACCACTGAGAAGAGTCTGGCTCCATCCTCGTGACCCCCACCCTTGAGATATTTGTACGTGTTGATGAGGTCCCCTCTCGGGCAGAGCAGAGGGGGAGGAGAACCTCCCTTGCCCTGCTGGCCACATTCCTCTTAATGCGCCCCAGGATACCACTGGCCTTCTTGGCAACCAGGGCACCCCGCTGGCTCATGATCAGCTTGTCATCCACCAGGACTCCCAGGTCCCTCTGGGCAGAGCTGTTTTCCAGCAGGTCAGCCCGCAGTCTGTACTGGTTCATGGGGTTCAACCTCCCCAGGGGCAGCACTCGACACTTGCCCTTGTTGAACTTCATCAGGTTCCTCTCCGCCCAACTCTCCACCGGCCCGAGGGAAGGCAGCATCTCCTCCTTTAGGGCATGCCCATGTGTATTGATTGCCATTTGATGCGATTACTTCGCAGCAGATCTGTAGGCAGCGCTGTTATCTTCCTCCCTAAGCAGCTGGGGAAGCTGGTATTTGTTGACAAGTTACGACTTTTCACTAATTGCTATTGTGTGCAAAGCGGCTGTGCCAGATTCGGCTCTTGGTTTTGCTAGGAGGGGTCTGGAGGAGCTCCAGACATATCAGCAAGTTGGGGAGTGTCGCAGAATTGGGAGGCTGTGCCGGTGCCTGTGCGGAGCATTGCCTGTGCACTGTTATCCAGGCGCTGGTTGGGAATCCTTCGATCCAAGTTTTTTTTTTTTATTTTACTAAGGGGAAAATGCTCTTTCCACAACATGAAGGCTTCTGGTGTCAAAATTTTGCTTCCTTTAAAGTTTTTTTGAGCTTTCAGCTGAGACCCCAAAGATCTCAGGAAAACCTTCAGCAACAAAAAATAAAATCATCCAAATGTTTTCTGACTTGCATACGTTCCCCCCCTGCACACTCACGCTGATCACGGTCAGTAGAATCTGAGTGGGCGAGCATTAACTCCAGGTTTTCTCTGGAGAGCTTTGCAGGATTCATCCCTGGGCTCGCTCCCGTGTTCTCAGGTCGCTTTGGTTTTTCCCTCTGAGGCTGCAGCTTTTGTAACGCCGCCGCCTTTCCCAGCACTTACATAAGCTGGGTGACCTTTTCAGCCGTTATCCCTGCAAGCCCGGGGATCCAGAGCCAATATGTAGGTCGCTTCAAAGTTAAGGGTATTTGAAGGACGTTGGCATTCGCAGCCTGCTGCTGCACAACGCGTGGCCGTGCCCTCAGACACTAAACCCGGTGACAGTTGTTAAACCCTACTTATGCCTCGTAATACGGCACCCACCGGTACCACTGCTAATAAATAAATGTATACGTGCTCCGGCTCCACTGCAGACTCAGCGTTTTTTGCAGGAAGCTGCCCATAGCCACCAGCCAGGTTTCTCTGTTTCATCGCCCCATCGCAAGGAGAGCGCTGGTGCAATTCAGACCACGCTGGGCTCAGCAGGGGCATAGGAAGCCGTGCAGTTTGGTTTTAATTGATCTGTAAACCAAGGCTTAACTTACAAGTAATGGTTTTCATCACGAATCCAGCCTTTCTGTCTGCCGCGCTGGTGGGGTGGCAGCCGCCTCTGCTGCCTGGGGCGAGAGCTGTGCAGGGGGCTGAATATCTACAGCTAGAGCTGCATTTCCCCAAGGGATTCACCTCCCTTTTATTTTGCACAGGTAGCTGTTTGCACAAAGCAGGGGCAGGGATTTGCACCAAAAAATTGCACATGGGGGGTATTTGGTGCAGGTACCGACTCTCCGCCTGAGTGCGCACAGCTGAGCCCCCAGGCAATGGTGGGGGCAAGGCAGGGTCCCAGTTAAATCCCACAGCGCAGACTGGCACGTTGCTGTCGCTGTTTCAGGTCACAGTCGATCCAGGGATTGCGTTTTCCCGGTTGTGTACGAGACAGCCTGTTGGGCAGCAGGGAGCAAATGCTCAAGCGTGATGGAAGATGCCGCTTCATAAGGCTTTTGGGTTTGTCATTCTTCATAACCATCCCTGCCACCGGCCTGGTGGGGGATTCTGTGATGTTACAAGTATTGTCACGTAGATTTGTGATTATCATCTGTGATTAGCCTTCTGTTGGGAAGCTGAGGAAGGTCTGACCTGGAGGGGATGTCTTAAAAAATCCCATGTTGGGATGTAATCCAAGTTGACAAGAGCTGTTGTTGAGGACAAGGAGGCAGGGAGCAGTTAAGAAGCAAACAGGCACGGCAAATATGCTCCAAGGGGTGTAAGAAGTTGTTTTAGCGGAAGGGGATGGGGTTCTTTCTCTTCGATGGGTCAAAATTTGAGTAAGCCAGGAATTTTTCAAGGCAGAACAAGCTCCGTCAAGTGTTTCCTTATCTGACAATGCAGCCTTTGTATGGTGGGAGATGTTGGAGGCTCCGATGTGCTGGAGATGGGGATGCTCTCGCTGGGGGTCCCCTGGGAGGACGAAGCACGAGCATCCCGGTGCTCTCCCCAGCCCTGTTCACGGCTGACGTGCTGCCGGGTGTCCCAAGCAGTTATTTTAGACCTGGATGCTTTGACAGCAGAGACTGGCTTGCAGCTTTTGCATCCGGGGGGATGAAGGGAATGACCAGGTTGAAAGCTGGGAGGGAAGGATGCTGCCGGGGCAGAGGCGCAAAGGCAGGGGATGCCTGGCTGCTCGCCCAAGCTCTCGCCAGGTAAAAGCCATGGGTCCAGTTTGCTGTGCCACACTGGATTCATGCATTGCCCTCTTCTGGGAAATGTTCCTGGGGGGCTGCCGGGGTCCTGGCTGGCTCCCGAGGGCGGAGGGGAGTGCAGCTTTGGGGAGCCGGGGTCCTGTGTTTTCTGCTTGGGTAAGGTACTAGCTTCATCTGGGAAATAAAAATCTATATTCACTTTTCTTTTAAGGACTTGGCCATGTACATAAATGAAGTGAAGAGGGACAAAGAGACTTTAAAGAAAATAAGTGAATTTCAGAGCTCTATAGAAAACCTGGTAAGCCGGAAAATCCTCTCACTCCCTACTTGAATTCAAATATTATTAACAAACTTGCTTTTTCTGTGCAATTACTACTGAATCTGATGAGCTACCCAAGGAGGATCCCTGTATGTTCGGACCCTCCCTGGTCTCTGACTGCTTTTGCTGACGGTGCAGCAGTGGTTGCTATATTACAAACCCCGTTTGGCTGTGGTGGAGGGTGGGTTTTGCTGGTGGGGTTACACTGAAATTGTTTCTCCAATTTTTTCTCATGTTCCTAGCGGAGGGGGGACCCAAGAATTCCCCAAATCTGCTATTTCATTTCCTGCCTGCTGTTTAAAGTGGGGTTTCTTTGGCTGTGAAGAGGACGGAGAAGTTAACTGAATGTTCTTGCACTTGAAAGTGTCCCAAAGCCTCTTGGGAGGAGAAGGGTGCACGTAATAGGCACCTAATCCCCAAAATCTCAACCAGATATTTTAAGGAGAATCTCATCCTCCAAACTCCCGGGGTATCAAACACTTGGTCCATCACTGTGCACCAGCCCACCCTGTGCAGCCCATGGCTCCCTCTAGCCCCGAAGCAGCCCATTAATTTAATATTCAGTGGCAGAGCTTCAAGCTGACGAGCTCTTTCCCACATTTGCCGGGGGGCAGGAGCAGGGGGGGACTGGTCAGCTGTGGGTGCAGCTGCTCTGCTGTCACGCTTTCCGCTGGGGTAATGCAATTTGGGGGCTGACACCTGAGATGCTTCCAAAGGGCTGGTGGAGGGGGGTGCTGGGGGCTGCCCACCCCGAGGGCTCCCTGGCAGCATCCTCCATTTGGGAGCCCAGACTCCATTGGAAAACAATGAGCTTTTAATTGATGGTTATTTAACAGATGGAAACAAAATCCTTAATTATTAAGAGAAACCTGCAAAAATCCTCCGGTGGGAGATGGGCCGTTGTGGCTCACGGGCTTTGATTGAAGCTGTCGTGATAATCCTGATCTGTGCGAACAACCCGACATCACGCTCTGTAAAAACAGGAGCATGAAGGGGGGCATTAAGCAGCCAGGTCTCCTCCTTGCAGCAGCCAGAGAGCCAGTTTGACGCGTGGGAGATGAGGTGTTACCAAAGCAGCCGCTCCTGTCGGCAGATCAATCCCACGCACGTTCTGCTCGGTGTTGCCTTGCGTTGCACCGGGTGGGACCTCGTGGAGTGGTTGGTGTTGTGTATACAGAGCCCACCTGGCACAGCAATGAAATAATTATGGACCATACACACAGCTGTGTAAAATATTGATTTTCCTGACCAGTGGTGATGCTTCGCAGTATTTTTATTTTTTTTCCTGTTAAGAACTACACAAGGGGATTGATTCCGGTGGCTCGGCAGCTGTGCTGCACCGAGCAACATTTGCAAGGGCTTTTGAGCTGAAAGACAAACTGACCAAACCCTTGGGCTGGGTTCTAGCCAAAATCTCCAGTCTTGGTTCAGGATGGGAATCAAAACTACAGTAGCCTTGGTTCTGTAGAAAACCCTGGAAAATAGCTTATTTTGGGGGGGGCGGGGGCTGCTTTCTGGATCCCAAACCTTGCAAAAGTGCTTTGATTCCTGTGCCTTGCCCTGGGATGCTGGTGCTGGAGCTCCAGGGACCTCCCGTGGTCCTGTTCCTGATGCTGGGGTCGTGCTCGTGCATGGGCTCCCCTTGGCGAGGGCAATGCTGTTCCCAGGAGCTTCTGCAGCTCGAGGCAGGGCTGGTGGGGGCGGCCCCAGCACACTGTGCGATCCAGGCAGGTTTGGGTTTTAGTCTCCAAAGCCCAAGCCTGGCTGCATATCTCAGCCCTGCTTTGCTTTCTGCAGCAAGTGAAGCTGGAGGAGTTTGGGAGGCCGAAGATCGATGGCGAGCTGAAGGTCCGCTCCATAGTCAACCACACCAAGCAGGACAGGTGGGTGAGCAGCGGCACTCAGCAGTTTTCCCCAACGAAATGTGCCTTTGTTTGGCAATTCCCCTTGTGCTCCTTTATTCGGTGATGGCCTAGAGTCGCATTGACAGAAATCACCATCCAGGTGAAATTATAGCACAGTTAGAGCATCGAGCGGTGCTGGCTGGGAAGCTCTGTGGAGCTATTCCCAAATAATTCCCGCTGCATGGGCACCTTAATGAGATGTTTGACTGGGTTGCTTGTTTATTTGCTTGCTTTGGGCAGGTATTTGTTTTTATTTGATAAAGTGGTGATCGTCTGCAAAAGGAAAGGATACAATTATGAGCTGAAAGAAATTATCGAGCTGCTCTTCCACAAGATGACTGACGACCCGATGAACAACAAGGATATTAAGAAGGTAGGTGGACTGGGGATTAGCTCCGCTGGAGAGTGTGTTGGAGCTGTTTGGGCCATTCCATGGGTAGTACATTCCCATTAGCCTTCTAAAATAGCAAAAGAGCTTGCAAAAAGCTGGAAAATAAATGCTCGGCTTTCAGGACAGCCTTCCAGAGAGTTGGGAAATGTTTATTAATATGGGGCTGGGCTTGATCCTTGACCTCCATCCTTGCAAAACAGCCCTGAAGAAGCTGGGATGATTGGAGTTAGGAGAGAGGAAGCTGCTCCCTGCTTTCTGGCCTGCCAGCAGCGAGGGACCGGCAAGGAGCAAAACGTCAGACAGGGCGGAGAGGAGGGCAGGGAGGGAAGGTCCGTCCGGATGCTCTCGCTCCCAGGAGTCACGGGGTGGAGGAGCCTGGAAAGGCAGCATGAGCATTGCCGACCAGCCTGCCAAAATCAGCCCTCGGAGCACGGTGGCCACTGAAGGAAAATCGTTTTGCTGGTGGTTTGGGGCTTAGTCTGCAGCCATGAAGGAAAACCTCCCAGCTATCGGTTTAGCAGAGACCCGTTAGCTTAATCCACTTACGTGCAATGGGAAGAGCCGTTGTACAGGTGGGCTAAGTGGCGTTTGGGTAAGAATAGCCAATTTTTAGCACTTGGGTGCTGAAGAAATGCTGCTAGCTTTGTGTTTTAACGAAATCTCTTTCCACTTTGCTCTCCTATGCTTTCAGTCTCACGGAAAAATGGTAAGCAAAGCACGCAGTTTTCTCTCGTGTTTCTCTGTGCGGCTGTAACGAGGCAGGCAGAGCGCATGTGCCGTGGGCAGGACAGACGTGTCAGTCGCTGTCAGGGAGGGAGGGAATGGCTGGGGAGGATCCATCGGAGCAGAAAAATCTGGGTTCTCTCATCTGCCACTATAAAATCCTATTTGGCCTTAGTGCACGGTGCCCAGCTGATTCGGGCGTCATTAGTTGCGATGTTTTAGAGAAATATGGAGCTCTTCATCCTCCTTCCCTGCTGCTACGTTTGCAAAGGTTCAGCTGTCCTTCAGCAGGGACAGGGGCAGGCATGGGGAGCAGTTATTAGGATGCCGGAATAGAAGTGCGGCGCGTTTTGTTGCTCGGGCGTTGGGAGCACAGCAATCCGAGCAGCTCTCTCGTTTTCTCTTGCAGTGGTCATACGGCTTCTACCTAATTCACCTTCAGGGGAAGCAGGGCTTCCAGTTCTTCTGCAAGACGGAGGAAATGAAGAGGAAGTGGATGGAGCAGTTTGAAATGGCAATGTGAGCACGAGTGGCCGCTCTGGCCCTGGCGTGCAGACGCCAAGTATGGGGGAGCCAGTGCCTTGGACCAGCAGGTCACGGGAGAGCAGCTCCGACAGCAAAGCCTGTGATGGGGGAGCTCGCGTGGGCTTGCTGGATGGGTCCTTGTGCAAAGGGGGCTTGGGTCCAGCGTGCAATCATCTACCCCGAGTGTCTGCAGCGAAGCACGCGTGGTGCATCTCTGAAGTGACGCCTGCAGTGCTTGCCGTGGTGTCACGCCATGCGTGAAGCACTGGGATGGGGCTGGAGGAAGGCCTTGCAGGAGAAGGACCTGGCCTGGAGCAGAGCAGGGGTTGGCCCCGCACTGGCAAGTCTGGACTGTTGTTTGACTCGGGCAAGGGCCAAATCCATGGATGTTGTCCCAGGGGAGGGCTGATGGGCAAAATCCTCTCTCTGTGCACGGTCAAGCCCCGAGTCTGCTTTCACACTTGATTTCTTATCTGTCCGTGTGGCTTTCAAACTTTGACTGAAATGCAAACAGCAGCTGCCATGACGGGGCACGAGTGCAGCGTGGCTTGGAGGGCGAGGTTGATAACCCCCCGGTCCTTTCCCTTAGGTCCAACATAAAGCCAGAGAAAGCCAATGCAAATCACCATAACTTCCAGATGTACACATTTGAAAAGACCACCAACTGCAAAGCCTGCAGGATGTTCCTAAGGTGAGCAACATTCTTCCAGCTTTCCTGCATCTCCCTTAAAACACGGAAAGAAAATCTCAAAGCTGAGGCTGAATTAGGACTTTTCTTTTTTTTGCACAGAGGAACCTTCTACCAGGGCTATCTTTGCCCGAAATGCGGAGCGGGTGCTCATAAGGAGTGCTTGGAGATCATTCCTCCCTGCAAGATGGGTGAGTTATTTCACATCCTAAGCAGCTTGTGCCAAGGAGGTGAATGCATGTCAATGATCTGAAGGATTCGCTCTACGAAGCACTGACACTTGTTAATGCATAACAAAATCTGAGTATGCTCCCACCCACTTCCCAGGGCCGGAATTCACAGTGGCTGGTGGTTTAAAACCCAAACCAACCAAAACCCCCCAAACCAAGGAGCTGAATGCCACGTGTGTCAGAGGGTCCCTGTGCTGGGTGGGACGCACCCAGCCCTCCTGCTGGGAGGGCATTTAAGGCAGATGGTGATTTCTTCATCAGAAGATGTTGGTTAGCGAAAGCAGGAGGGTCCACGCCAGGAATCGCGTTTCTGATGAGAAGGAGAGACCTTGTCTCCAGATCCCAAACGCCCCACAGCGCTGCAAAAATCTGTGTCCTTCATTGAAACTGGGTGAAGCTGTGACTCGCCTCTCCTCGGCCGGGTCAGAACCCTGGCGCTGCTGGGTGCAGGGGGCCGTCACGGGGTAGCTTTGGGGAGATTTTTTATGGGGAGTGGGGGGAGGAAGAAACAAAATCGCCCAACTTTGTGCAAGTGAGAAGATGTCCTTGTCGGGCTCCAGTCCCTCCCTGGATCTTGCCCGCCCGGCGCAGAGCGATGACTTGAGTGACCCCAGCCTCCGCTTTGTGCTTCCCCCATCAAGTTCAAGTGCTGATGCCAGTTTATTGATACTCGCAGTGTCAAGAGAAACAGAAAATGGGGTTTGTTGCCTGTTAACCACTTACTTTCAACATTTCTCTTGCAGGTTCTTCAGCAGACCAGGTACGTTGTTTGATGGCCCTCTCCCCGCATCCCCCTCGCCTTGGGCAGAGCCTGTATCCTTGCCCGGTCCAGGTGCGGGCAGCTCGTAGGAAGAGCCAGCACTGGCCTCAGTAAGCTCCCAGTAACCTGGGGGGCAGGACTGGAGACTGATGGTCTCTTCTCCAGCTGAAAACTGGCCCAGTCTGGGTGGCACCATGGCCCTCAGGAGGTGCCAGCACCCAGATGGGGCAAGCACCAGGTGCCAGCTGGTGCCAGGGAGGTTTTGGGAGAGGGTTTCTTGTCCTGGTGGCTTCAGCCGTGTCCTCATGGAGACTTTTTCCTCTCTCTCTTTGCAGGATTCGCTGAGTGCTGGACCTGGTAAGGGCATGACTGTATTGCAGGAGGGCAAGTAGAGACGGCATCTTGATTGTGGCTGCAGGCATCCCTAACACTGAGCACGTGGGGAGGGAGAAGCTCCTTCCAAAACCAGAAAGAAGCATTAGTAGCTGCAGAAGGGTCCTGTGCCACCCTCACAGCAAGTGGCGGGGTGCTGAGGTCCCTCCTGTCCCTGCTCCCCAACGCAGCAGGTTGGGTCTCCTGCGGGAGGACCCGGCTCCCCCTTGGGCTCAGCCCTCACCCACTGCAGCCGTCAGCACCTCCTCATTAATTTGGGTGCATTCGTGCCCCTGGCCTGTTGTGCCACCTGGGAAAAGCTTCCGCACATCACAGCAGTAACTGAGGGGAGCCCGGCAGATTTTCTTGTGCCAGATCGTCCTTCCAAGCAGTCCAAAGGCATCCTGGCAGGGAGGCTTGTTGGCTACGGGGAGCATCTTCCCGGCGCGTGTCTGGTGTCCCGCGGGGCTGTGCAGCTCCAGGCACCGCCCTCTGATGCGGCCGTCGTTTGGGATGGTCGCCGCAATGGTTTTTTATTTTCCTTTGCTTAAAACTAGCCTAGACAGAGTGCCAGGCCTGCCCTGCCCGTGCTCTGGCTCGAAGGAGAAGGAACAATTTGTTTTTGTGCTTTTTCTGTTAAAAGGAAAGCCAAGCCTGGCCAAAAAAAAAAAAAAATATTGAATCAAATTGGTGGTTAAAAAAGAAAGCACAGAGTGCTCTGGCTGGGCAGGGAGAGGCAGAGATGGGAAAGCATTTTGAAGATAAACACTGTGATTTTAGTGCAGTTGGGGAAGCTTTAACGTGCAGTCATTGGCGAGAAAACTGGACTTTGGCTGCAAGCTTCAGGGGCGTTTGGGTCCCAGGTCCAGCTGGAATTTAGTGGAAGCTGAGTGTTGCTTTGGCCGTCGCGGGTGTCACCACTGAGCCCGGCGGGGTTTGGTGCTCACCTAACGAGGGCTGGTTTGCCACGGCGAGGTTCAAGTCCAGGAGCTGGGCTGGGAGTTGGAGCTTTGGCTTGGCTCGGTCCTTCACGGGTTTATTTTTACTCAGTGAACTCAGCCATCCATGTAACTGCAGGAGCCAAGACCGTTCTCTGTGGGTACTGTTCCTTTCCATTTTCATGCTTTCTGCCCCAAAATCCTGTCTGCTGGTGCCGTTAGATTTGTGGTTCACAGGATAAGGAACAACAGGCTTTGGCGGGAGGAGTGGGGTATTTTTGTTTTGCTTCTTGTTAACAGGGCCTAGGTGGTGAAACTGTTTTGCATTTGTTCCAGGTCCTAAAATGGTGGCGGTTCAGAATTACCACGGAAACCCAGCCCCCCCCGGGAAGCCAGTGCTGACATTTCAAATTGGGGACGTGATTGAGCTGCTGAGGGGGGACCCCGACTCGCCGTGGTGGGAGGTGAGAGCGATTCCCCTCGAGAAATTCCTGGGAAGTTTTAAACCAGTGACTTCTGCATCGTCCCTTTTATTTGTGGCCTTTCCCAGTGCACAGGGACGTGCGGGGGCTCCAGAGCTGGGGGGTCTGGTATGGAGCCTGGGAGCTGGAGCGGGGACCGTCCCTGTCCCTGCACGGGAAAAACATTGCTCCCTGTGCCCGTCCCAGGCTGATACCCAGCTTGGCTTTGCAGGGGCGGTTGCTGCAGACGAAGAAGTCGGGTTATTTTCCCAGCTCGTCAGTAAAGCCCTGCCCCGTTGATGCGAGGGTAAGTGCCGAAGAGGAGCGGGAGCCAGGAGCACACCTGCGGGTGCTGCGGGAATGCTGGGGTGGGCGCTGGGGGTTGTCCTGGGAGGTGCTGCTCTGGCAGTGCCTGTTGCTTTTCTCAGCCTTCTGCTTGAGACCTCGGTCCTTCCAGTAAGCCCCTGGACCTTGAGTGAGGCCTTTTAGTACAGCTGAATTAGCGAGGAAGTGGATCCATCACCCCATGGTTGCCAGTGTCTGGTCAGGTTGGTCTCAGCCCCGTTCCCAAGGTTGGGGTTGATGTGACCAGGTCAGGACTCCATTCTGGCTCTCAGCCACTTCCCAATTAAAAAACGCTCAGGTTAAATTAAAAAATGCAGCACGCTCTCACAGCAGGGAGGCTGAGAGGGAAACGCTCAGCTCCAACACTGCCCTCCGCCGCCGAAGCCAATAATTCAGAAGCGGCTTGGCAGACGGACACCCTCCCATGGAGAGGAGCATCTCGCCCATGATCTATAGCCTGGCGCGATGCTGGCTCGTCGGTAATAAGCCAATGCTCTTTTTGCAGCCTCCCAACAGCCGGCCACCCTCGCGGGAGATAGACTACACGGCGTACCCGTGGTGAGTCGCCCTGCCTGCCCCCGGGCAGCCTGCTGGAAATGGCCTTTCTCTGGCCAGAAGGATATATCGACCTTGCCTTTTAATTGCTACGTTGTCAGGGATCCACTCTAATAACGAATTACGCGCGCAGGTGAGCGATGCTTTGCATCCCACCGCCCTCATGGCCGCGGGGCAGCTGCTGCAGCGGCATTTGGGTGTTGAAACCTGGTGCAGCCCCCGCAGCGTCCGAGGGGATTTCGTCACTGATGGAGAGGGTCAGAGGCAAAAGGAGAGATGCTGGTTTCCCTTCCCATTTTCTGTGTTTTCTTTGTCCAGAAAACCCTTTTGGGAGGAAGGGAAGCCATTCCTGCCTCAGCTGGAGAGGCTGTGCTTGGCTTGCCTCCCGCTCCTTCCCTCCAGCTCCAGCCAGATTTTCAAATGCATGAGTCTAAATCATCCCCACTCCCCAGCTCTTACTGAAGTCTCATTCACCTGGGGACTGATTCCTAATTAGCAGGGTTTTCTAGGTGTGCTGGAAACATGAGAGACTTCACGGGGAAGAGGTTGCACCCCGCATCGCTCATCCTCTGTTCCGTGGCTGAGCAGCTTCTCGCATATCTCTGGGCACTTCCCTTTCTGCTCCTGCAGTTTTGGATGAGACCTGTTTCTCTACTTGCCCAACCTTCTCGCCTTTAAAAAGGACATCTATTTTTGTCTAAAATATGCCTATTTGAAAGATACGCATTGATTTTTTTAGTTAATTAATTAGCCTCCGGGCTCAGGTTCGCAGGGAACATGGAGCGGCAGCAGACGGACAACCTGCTCAAGTCTCACGTCAGTGGCACCTACCTGATCCGGGAGCGGCCAGCCGAGGCCGAGCGCTTTGCCATCAGTATTAAGTGAGTAATCCTTAATTCAGTCTTTTAGCATTCAGGTGGAAAGTCACAGGCGGAAAGCGAGACGGGGCTGGAGCACGTGGTTACGTTTTCTTGAGTGCCTTTGCTACCCTTTGCAGGTTCAACGAGGAGGTGAAGCACATCAAGGTGGTGGAGAAGGACAACTGGATTCACATCACGGAAGCCAAGAAGTTTGAAAGCTTGCTGGTAGGTTTTCGTAGCCCCTTTGAGCGTGCGCGCCGTCCCGGCAAGTCACGCAGAGGACGGCGGAGACAGCCGGGTGCCCCTCCGTCCATCCGCAGGAGCTGGTTGAATACTACCAGAACCACTCGCTGAAGGAGAGCTTCAAGCAGCTGGACACGTTATACCCCTATAAATCTCGGGAGCGCTCTACCTCCAGGACCTTCACCCGCTCTCCAGGTAAAACCGAGCTCAGCCGTGCGAGCGGGTGCCGTTAAACCCCTGGTGGGAAATCTCAGCCTTGCAGCAAGGCGTGGGAGCACCGTCTGGATGGAAGGATTTACAGCTTTGCTGTAGCGCTTGAGCCCCCTAATTTGCAAATGAGTCTCCTGCTGGGCTGGTGGCATTTGAGGATGGGTCTCACAGGGGGTGGGGTGGGGAGTCAGGAGGGTCCAGCTGAGGGGGGCTGCCTGGTGCTGTTCCCTTGAGCTCGTGTGGCTCCGTGGAGTGGGTGCAGCCTCCCAGGGAGACTTTTTCCTGGGTGAGGCTGGGTTTCCTCCCCCTGGTTTTGCCCCCGTGCTCCGGGGGCTGAGATAAAGACAGTTTAATAAGAGAAAATAATAATAATAGTAATAATGAGAATGGTAAGAGAATATACAGAATATACAAAACAAATGATGCACAACACAATTGCTCGCCACCCGCAGACCGATGCCCAGCCCGTCCCGAGCAGCGATCACTCCCCGAGCTGCGATTACTCTCCCCACAACTGACCGACTAAACCCCCCCCGAGCATGACGTTCCATGGTCTGGAATAGCTCTTTGGTCAGTTGGGGTCAGCTCTCCTGGCTGTGCTCCCTCCCAGCTTGTTATGCCCCTGGCCGAGCAGGAGAAGCTCAAAAAGTCCTTGAGTAGTCCGAGCACTACTTGGCAACAACTAAAAACATCAGTGCGTTATCAACATTCTTGTAGTACTAAATCCAAAACACAGCGCTATGCTAGCTACTATGAGGAAAATTAACTCTATCCCAGCCAAAACCAGGACAGGGGAACGAGCAGAGGCGTGGCGCTCGGTTAGCGGGATGCGTGGTGTCGTACCTGCCCGCCTGAGCTGTTGTGCGTGTGCGTTCATGGATGCGGTTCCAGTGTCACTTGTGATGGTTTGAATCCCAGGGGGACTCCTTTAATGGAGATGGTGGTAGAAATGGTAAGTTGGTGCCTAAAATTAAAAAAAGAAAAAAAAAATAAAAATCAAACCAAATGGAAAGCAAAATGTGCATTAGTGCAAAAGGCTCTGTTTTGTCTAAAAGCCTGAGTGCAGAAATAACTACTTCAGGGGGAAAAATGCATTGCTTAAAAACGTTTTCCATGGTGTGTTTTAAAACGAATACCAAAGGAAGATAGTTTTTAAACATTGATTAAATATCCTTTCCAATAAAACACAACCCAAGGATGACTTTTGAGCCCCCACGCTGGCTGTGGGGCTGCGGACGGACCTGCCGCTGGTTGCCGCAGCTCCAAGCCCCCGTGCAAGACCTTCTGTGTGCTTTGCCCTGTATTTCTCCTTTGGCTTTTAAAGCATTGTACCTTATAATATATTTTTTTTTATTTCCTTTTTAATGCGTGTTCTGCCTCTTTCTGTTTCTCTCTAACCTCTTTGCAGCCTCCTGCGCTTCCTACAACTTTTCTTTTCTCAGTCCTCAGGGCCTCAACTTTTCTTCTCAGAGCTCCTCCAGTCCCTTCTGGTCAGGTACCAGTGCCTCTCCCCACCGGAGAGACCTGCCGCCTTCCCCAGGCTGCAGCATCCCCAGCTTGAAAGCCATCGCCAGCGGGACCTGCGGGGTCCCCGCTGCCCCTCCGTCACCCTCAGGCAGTGCAGGGGGGTCCCCAGTGCTGCCCTGGGGCTTGGCTGGAAGCAAAATGCACCCCCCCCCCCCCCTTCTCCCCAAAATCAAGACAGGGAGGAGATGGAGTGGTCACTATTTGAGAAAGGGGGCTAAAATTAATGAAAAAGCCAATCCAGTGCGTTGGGATCTCACGATGTACTTCAAGCTCGACCTGCCTATCCCGTGTGTTTCACCAAGCGAGCATTGGCATCACACCGTCTTCCAGAGCGTTTCTCCTTGCTGTGCAAGGAGAACATCTCATGTCTGGCAGTTTTTGAGCTCTGGTGTCGGAGGCTGCTCAGGAGCCCCTTGCTGAGGAGCCGGGGGGGCGGGGGGGGGACACCTGCGCTGCCAAATGTGGTTTGTGGCTCAGACTCCCTGCGGAGTGCAGCGATGCTCTGACCTTTGAGCCCTGTTGGTCTAAATGTGTTACAGACTGGTGTCTGTTTGGCTGGGATCAGAGCAAAACCATGCTGGTTCACGTCTTCCCATTTAAGCTTTTACCTTTCAGCATTTTCTTTAGGGTGGACAGGGAAAATCATTGGCAAAGCCACACAGGCTTTTCTTACTGCCGTGTTTGGGAAGGACACTTAAACTTTCCAGGGTTTTAGAACATAATTCTGGGAATTTGGGATCCTTTAACTGCATGCAAAGTACTGCAGAAAGTAATTTGTGCAGCAGTGGGCTCTGAGCAAGCTCCTGATGAAAGAGTTCAAAGCTGCTGTGATTCTCGCTCCGTTCTCCAGCCGGGCTGCCTGGCAAGGACGGACGAGCCCTCCAGTGATTGCACGTTGTGTGTCTGGACCGTCTCCATCGCCATCCTCATCTCTTTCCATCCCGAGAGCTGAAAACCTGGGCAAAGCTTTTCCTCAAACTTAGTTCAACCTTGGTTTGCAAACTCTTAAAATCGAAATGAATCCTCGAAAGTCCTGGGACGAAAAGGGTTGCTGCACCGAAACACGATGTCCCTGCAGGGTCGGGTTTTTTTGCAACCTTCAGAGGAGGTGACGCTTTTCTCCTCCTCTGCCCATCCCATCCCTCCCACTGTTGCTCTCCAACCCTCCTTCCCCCTGCCCAGACGCCAGGGCAGGGAAGCCGAGCGCTGCCCTTGCCTTTCCCCGCTCACCGCTGCTCCTCCCTGTGCCTCCCCTGTCCATCCCCTGCCTGAAGCGGTGGAGATCTGCAGTGCTGGGGCCGTACTGGTGCTGGCAGAGGCTGGGTCCCAGGGTGGCTCATGGGGCTATGCTGCTTGTCACAAGCTGTTGGTCAGCGTTGGGTGCTTTTGCACCCTTTCGGTCTATTGTGGGACCAAATATCCAAGGGCCCTGGCTGCTCCCTGGCAGGGAGAGGAGCGGGGAGGATACCAGGTTAGCAGCTTGTTCCTCCTCATGGCAAAACGTACGGGTTTTGCTCAGCATCTCTAGGAGAACCCAATCCCAATAACTTGATTTTTTGAAGTCGTTTAAATACAAGTTGATTTGTGAAATCTTTTGGCAAGGTGGTTCCATCAGGTGCTGGGAGCTGTGTGGCAGTCAGACCTGATGTTAGTAGCGGAATGGGATTTTTCCGTGATTTCATTGTTAATGGTCATGCATTCCTATGAAATCTTTTCTTTACCACCTCCTCACAAAAGTGCCCCTCACCCCAATGATCCCTGCCAAGCCCCTCTTGGACTCTCCTGGTCAGCAGAGAGGGGCTTCCCAAGCCTGCAGAGCTGTTTAAAGCCCATCAAGAATCCAGTTTAACCCTGACCGCCCCAGTCTGCACAGGGCTGAGCAATTCGGATGAGGCCAGCCCCGCCATCCGAGCTGCTCCAGGTCGCGGTGTTGCAACGGGAGCCAGTGCTGCGGTGGAAAACCCAGGTTGAACCTCACCAAGCTTTCCCCAGGCTTCGGCCGGTCCCGCGTGGCCAGGCAGCTCCCGACTCCCTCTGCTTTGTCCCCTCGCAGTGTTCACCCCACGGGTCATAGGGACGGCAGTGGCACGATACAACTTCGCGGCGCGGGACATGCGGGAGCTCTCTCTGCGAGAGGGTGACGTGGTGAAGATCTACAGCCGGATCGGCGGGGACCAGGGATGGTGGAAGGGGGAAACCAACGGAAGAGTGAGTGCAGCCAGATAATGTCCTGGCCCATTTCTGCAGCGCACGGTCCCCCCCGCTCTCAGCCCGCCCAGCCGGAGTGCAGCCCGCTGTCAGGACAGCAGAGGACAGGGGGACATGGCCCACTCCCTCTTGCTCTTTTCCAGCTGCGGGTGGGCTGTCACCTCACGAGAGCCGCTGCTGTGTTGCCAGTTGGTGCTGCGTGACAGTGAGACGTGACGCCCAGCGCGTGCGGTGGGCAGGGGGGGACGCCAGCTCGGGTGACGTCCCAGCCTGCTCTTCCTTAAACGTGCACGGGATGGGGATTTGTGCAGGAGCAGCTCTGCAGGTCAAGGGCTCAGCATCCCGGGGAAAAGCAGCAGGCTGATGGCTTGACCTGGTGTCCCACAGAGTTTGTAGCACTGGGACAGATTCTTCATCTGATCCCTTACATATTGCGGACAACCCATGTGTCCAAGGCAATGTATAGTTGCTAGCTCCGTCCCAAATTAGGGTAACGACTGCACCACCTCCCTGTCACCACTGTGCATCGGGACGCGGGCGCATCCCGTGCCGTACAAACGGCTCACCGGGAACAGCGCGCGGCGATGGGGAAGCAGTCCCGGTGGCGGAGCAGGAGGTCCCTTCAGCTCCCCAGCCTCCAGCTCACCTCTCTGCTTCCCCGGCAGGTTGGCTGGTTTCCCTCAACGTACGTGGAAGAGGAGGGGGTGCAATGACTGCGGGGATGTCCCATGGAAAGTCGCCGAGGGCCCAGAGCGAGCCGCTGCAGACCGTGCACGCTTGTCCCGACGCCTGCGGCTCCCCGTGAGACGCGGCCGGACGCCTCCCAGGACTGCTCTCGCAGACCCCTCAGCAACCCGTTCCTCTGTACAGTGTCTGTGTGCGCCTGCGCCGGGGCCGCCGGCGGCCTCGCTCCTGTTCCCTGTATAGAAGATGGATGGTCGGTCGGATAACGTTGGCGTAGCAGCTGCAGACGAGTCCTGGGAAAAGCCGTGCACCCCTGCATGGACAGAGCTGAGAGACTCTGCGCGGTGCCCACCAGGGGATGGGAACCTCTTTTTACTAAAGGTGTTTTAAAAGCCACTGTGGTGATGGTGGTGGGAGGGTGAGGCTGAAGGTTTGCGCCTGGGCTGGTGGCCGGGTGGGCCAAGGTGAGAATTTGGGGGTGTCTAAGGGGAGGGAGCGACTCAACCCCGAGGAGATGCCATGGACCCCCCACCACACCGCTCGGGTGGGCTCCCCAGGTTGGGATTTCATCAGTCTCCCTGGCAGCCCTGCGGCAGCGCCCAGCAGCACTGCGCTGTGGCCGGGGCGAGGGGGCAGAGAGGGGACACCCGAACTGGGAGGAGGAATCGGCTGTTGCTCGTCTCCGAAGGATGCCAGCTGTGAAACCGGGAGCGCGGTTTGACCATCAGATGTAGGCTGGAAGTGGACCTCCAGGTCAGACAGGAGGAGAAGGAGCCACTTTGGCATCCCAAGTCCATTTTCTTTACAAACACCTTCAGCCCCACCAGCCTTGCTGTGGCCTGAGGGGGCCAGCCCAGGTGCAGACTGGTCCCACTGGTGAGCAGGAGGTCTTGGTGCGTGGCAGGACTGGAGATGTGCTTTGCCACACAAGGGTTTTGGAGGCCACCAAGGCATCAGCTACACACGGAGGAGTGGACGGGAGCGTGCGTCCGTGGGTCTGTCCTGCCCTCGCTCCCAGCTTGGTCCTGCTGGACCCCCCCGAGCCAGGCTGATTTTTCTCACAGCCATGCCATGTCCCACCTCGCTGAGCTCAGGGGGGTGACCCCCCCTGAGTAAGGGCTACGGTATCAACTGATTTCTCTCGCTAAGTTGTGAAAGCATCTCTTCTTCCCAGCTGTGTGCACTTTTGGGGGATGCGAGCGTTGCCCCCTCTCTTCCTCCCACAGGCTGTTACTGCTGCTGCTAAGTAAAGGTCTTGGCATCGCCGCTGTGTCCTGAGCACCGTCCGTCCCAGTCTGTTCTTTCCGAAGTGCAGCCCCCGTGGTTGGTAGGCAGAGCTGCCGGGTGGAAATCCCAGCCATCATCTTCTGCCAGGCACTGGCTTTGCTCTCCAGCTCCAGGATTTCCTTCCAAAGTGCAAATATGAACAAATAACGCGTGTGGCAGGGAACAACTTTCCTCTATCCGATACCTGAGCCCCAGGAGATGTCCTTCAGCCTCTCTGAATAAGTGACGTTTTGAGTTGGTGCTTTCCATGCCCTGGCGTTGTTCCCTTGGGACTTGCGGTGGTCCTGACGCGGGGCACCGAGTCCTCAGTGGGGGCTCTGGGCATCGTGCTGGCGCAAGTCTGGGAGATGCCAGCGTTGGGTGGGTGAGGGGTGCTGATGCCCTCGGTCCCTGATGGGAGGATGCCGTGGCTGCATCCGAAGCCTTGCCGCAAATGGAGCAGCAGTGCCCTGCTTGGGATAATAAATGGAAGAGTTTGGGGCTCTGAAGGAAAAGTGAAAGATGTTAACTTGGAAAATTAAATGTTGTTGCTCAGCGGTGAGCCCGGAGCCACCCTGCGTTGCTTCCCATTGCTCCTGGAGCCCCATGAGCGCCCCTGCCCTCGGTGCCGGGGGGGGGAACGGGGTGGGTGCAGCCGGGGTCTGGCCAGGGCAGATGCCCACGGGGTGTCTGGCTCTGCGAGGTGGCGGGACGTGGAGGGGGCTCGGGGCTGTCCCAAGGTACTGTTTGGTGCTAAGCTCTCCCGGCCAGCCCCTCGGTGCTCAGCTCGAGGGGGAGCAGCCCGCAGGGAGCTGGCAGTGCCCTGCTCCTCCTGTGCAAAGCAAGGGGCCCTGCTCTGATTCCCGTAGCTGTGCTGGAGCTGAGGGTGCATTTAGGGTGGATGCGATGCACGCGTGCACCCACCCACCCAAGACAAACTCGTGTTGATGCCTCAGATCCTAAAGCCTTACGTGACCCTCCTGCTTAACGTGGCCGATTTTGAAAGGCGGTGAGGGCATCCCCTCTGGAAGAGCACGTACCCTGCCCCGGGGACCGTGGCACCGTCTCTCCCTTACACCCCAAAGGGATCCCCAACCTCCACCACTGCCTGCGCTCCCCTCCCGACCCTGCCAAATCCCCCTTCCCTCCGGAGAGCTCTCCCTCTTGTGTTTACTGTTGTAAGAAACTTGTTAAAAAGATTGTTTTGTTTGTAAGTAATTATTCAGCCATTTGCCACAATATATATCTGTGAATAAGAAAGGGAAATGTTTTTTTATGATGGCGAGAAAATTGTATATATATTTTAGTTCATCGCAGATCATTCAAAATTGCAATGGGATACGTTGGAAAATAATATGTAAATTCCTTGGGTTTTTCCTTTGCACTGCACTAACTGGGGTAGGGTGGAGGGGGTTTAAAGATAAAACTGTTTGTTTATGGAATAGTTTATAGCTGGGAATTTGGAACTCATTTGGAATAGCTTGTAATGCTGGAATAGAAACTTTAGCTGCTACTTAGAAACCCTTTTGCATGTGGTTTTTCCAGACCTTTTTAAGTTACAATACATGAAAGTGAATTCCACGATGAGAAAAAATAAAGTGTAATTTTGCTGATAGATTTTTTTTCCAGCCATGGTTTTTACCGTGCCGGAGGGCTTGGGCTCATGTCAGGCTTCTTGGCCCTAAAGCCCCCTTGGCTGTGCTGGGGCCAGAGGGGTGGCTTGGCCGGTCCGGGGGAGACGCCTGCTCGTGGGGACGGATCCTTTCTGATTGCTGCCATGAGCCGTAAGTGTTCGTACCCCTTCCAAAACTCAGAGTAAATCCTTCCTGCAGTGCCAGACCCGGCTCTTTGCAGCCAGGCGCCGCTGAAGCCGACTGCTCGCCTGCCGAGTTCCTTCTCCTCATTTCTGGAGCAGCTGCTGCTCCTGCAGTTGTCCCACGCTCCTGCCGGGCGGTTTTCCCGGGGCTCCTTTCCCTGCCGGAGCCGAATCGCTGGGGGGTGAGAGAAGGAGCGTGATTTTCCATGGCTTTTAGTCACTCCCAAGTATCATATTCCAGAATCCCCCTCAGCCCTGCGCACAGCAGCGTTTTCCAGAGCAATAAAAGAAATTGCACAGTTGCTTATGAAATACCTGAGGCATTGCTGGAGCTTTCCCCTGCGAGCAGGGACACGAGGCGCCACTCTGAGCTACCATGTCCTTTAATTAATAATAACTTTATTTTTTTTCTGCTCTTGGAAGTCCCCGGTGCTTTCTCCTTCTCTCTTCAACTCTCACAGGGTCAGCTGAAAGGGGCTGTAGAAATGAGCAGAGGTGTTCTACTTGGTGAAGGAGGACTTTAGCTGGGTACTAACCTCTGGATGCTGATTTGGAAAGATGCTGCTCGGCCAGGTATTTAGCCTTGGCTAAATTGAGAACCCTTGCCTGGGATTAAACCCTTTCCCCATTGCTATTCTTCAGTCGAAGGGAAGCAATCTACCATGCACCATGTATGAAATACCAGGGCTTGGGACCTGGGTGCTCTCCTGCCAACGATGAGCATCGGCCCAGCACCGAGCAGGTCGGGCATCGCCGTCAGATGCCCGTGGTGCAGCTGGGCTGCAAAAATGCAGCACTAGAGCCTGGAACCCACTGGTGGCTGCAAGAGCAGGTAAATGCAAAAATCCGCTTCCGTGCGAGGTCCTGCCTCCGGGGACATCCCTGCTACCCCAGGGGCTGGCTCCTTGGTGGCAGCCGGTGACATCTACCCCTCGGGGGGTGGTTGGAGCTGGCATCGTTGCAGCGTCAGCCAGGTGGGTACCTCGGCAGCAGCTTTGCTCGGCTCCACATCTAAACCTCCCCCTGGGGTTTGCACCGATGAGGGCTGACGCCTCGGGGATAAATGGGGTATTTATTCGCCGTGCCCGGCCACGGCCAGGTGCTGTAACCAGACCAGGAGCAGCCTTCCCAGGGGCATTAACAGGAGAATAAATCTCCATCCACGGCCAGCACAGCTGGCTCCAGCCCTGCGCGGACCCTGGCCTGCCCCAGGAGGGGGGGATGCACCAGACACCCTTTATTTATTTATTTATTTATTTATTTATTTGGGAAAAAGGTTAAAATAAGGATACACACTGTAAAAAGATTGGAAGTGTGTTAGTTTTTTTATGAGCCTTTATTTTTTTTTTATTCACTCCTTTATTTCCTTAAAACTTCATGTGTGTTAATGTGCCACGTCGGCCGGTCCGTGCCACAAGCAGGGGCTTGGGCTGGGTGCAAGCACTCACGCCACCCAGCTCGGTGGACTCCAAACCAAGGGTCCAGACTGCTGTGCAATGGGGATGGGGAAACCGAGGCAGGGGGGTTCCCAGTATGAGCACTCCGAAAAGCTCTGCTCAGCAGGACTGTGCAGGACCAAGCCTGCTTTTGCTTTAGAGGCACGTACTGGTCGTGCTTTCCCAAGACTGAATTCAGAGTGCAGCGTGGGGGAAGAGCAAAGCCAGCCCTGCACAGGCCCCCGTGTGGGGTCCAGCAGCGATGATGATGGTGATGGCGCACGCTGGCAGCCTCGTGCACGCAACGATCGGCTGCAGTTCTGCAGCACGCCTGGCTACTTCATCCCTGCATTAGCCGTAATGTTCTCTGTGACCTGGAAACCCCCAGCTGGCGCACGCAAGCCGCTATGCTTCTTTATTTTATAATTAATCGAAGAATTATAGGGAAAAGACGAAACTGGCACAGGCTCCCTCTACATTGGGTTGACCATCAAAAAAAAGAAAAACTGCCCTCATTC